TATGTAACAGAAATGCAGAAAGAAATCTTGACACGGTCTTCCTCACATTGCAGTTTACTTTGGTCAACAACCATCCATTTAAACAGTAAGGCACTGTCTGACCAAAACATAAGGCTACCAACCACAGTTTGCTTTGTTTCATGGGAAATAGATATCTATTTGAAATCGATATCAGGTGAATTGTACTTGTTGAAAGTGCCTCCTAAAAAAAAAAAGAGTACAATTTAAAGATTTAATGCCTACCTACATGAAAACTTGATCAACTTTGGCAAATCCAGTGATTAATTGTTCCTCAGAAGTCTAACTGTTTCCAAGTGTACTGAAAAAAGACACTGTGTACCACTAACTACCAATCAGTTTAAAGCTTATAAGATCAGGAAAGTACATTCCAGGTTTATAAGCATGAATGCGTTAGACGCTCAGCAAATGGACTGTGGGCGGCCCGTGGGTGTGCCGACTGCTAAAGAATAGGCTCTTTATCATCATTTTAAGAGTTTCTGGGTATTTTCTTTCTTCATGTCTCTTTCACTTCTTCTATCTTTTTTTAGGCTATGTTGGTGTTTTGCAAGAGTAGTAAAAGCATCTGTGCTTAACAAAAATGACTGACGTTTGGGCAAGATTTATAAATCACATTGAATTCTCATCTCAGGAAAAGATTAAGAACTGGATTTTTTCATTTAATTTAAGGGTCTCAGTTTTTACCCTTCTCTGTATACACATGACAGTTGTTTTCTGCCAAAGATCTGCTGGCAGTACAGCTAGTTTGTGGCACTTGGCATCAAAACCACTTGGACGTTTTTTTTCCATTTACATTCTAAAGGCTCATGTGTCAGTATCAGCGGTCTGTGCGATGTGCTCCTCATTATTGGTCACTATTAAAAGTCATGAATGTGCTTGCTGATGTACGGCAGAGCACGTCCAGATCCTGCGAGGTAATCGCTTGATGAATGTTGTACGGCGGATATTAGGGCTGTTAAGTATATTTGAATGGCCTGTAGTGTGTTTGAGCATGTCTGTGTGTTTTCTGGGAGAGCTGACAGCTGGATGTTTGCTCGTCTGTTGTGTCAGCGCACCAGCTACTACTCTGGCGAGTCACGCATAATCATAAATCAGCAGGCGGTTGAGATGACATGAGCTTCTCTCGCTGGTGTGATGTTTCATGCAGGAGGTAAAAACAGTCATGGAGCTTCTGAACCTGTTATCATCTCAATCACAAGTGATAACAGGTCATTAGGCACAATTCAAACATGCTTTACAATTTTTCACATGATCCTCTTCCTCGTAATGAGGGTCCTTCATTTAGATCAGGTTTGGGAACCATTTTAACAGGAAGTTCAATCACCATTGATTTCTAAGTATACTATATTCGGTATAACACATAAGGCCTTATATTTAGAAAATAAAATTTGAAAATGTAGTGCTTCTAAAAAAGTCTAATTGAACAACATTGCTCAAAAATATTTGATAAATACTATAAAAAATTTCTGAAATATTACATTTTAAAATAACTGTTCTATGTTTAAGTATTTAAAAATAAAATGTAATTTATTTCTGTGAAGACTGCTACATTTCCAGCAGCCATTACCCCAGCCTTCAGTGTCACATGATCCTTCAGAAATCATTCTAATATGCTGATTTGAAAACGGATAGTTCCGGCCCCTGATTCTGATTGGCTGAGCCACGTCCGAAGCTGTTGTAAATTACTCTACAAACATACACCTTTGTTTACGTTTGTGTGTTGCTCTGCAACCACTTTGTTGCAACCACAACTGATTCTGAGGAACTACATTGTTTGGTGGAAGAATAATGTTTTTATTAATATCATTACACTTTATTTGCTCTGTTTTATTTTGAGAAACCTTACTACATATATGGAATAACTGTTTTATAAAAGCAATAAGCCCCGTGAAGCCGTGGTTTACAGTGAATTTATAACAGCTAAGGGGGTTTTTAGGCACGACGCGAAGCTGTTATAAATTCACTGTAAACCGCAGCTTCTTGGGGCTTATTTCTTTATTTGAAAATGGTAAATGTTGAAAACAATTGTACTGCTTAATATATTTATTGAAACCATGATACTTTTTTCATGCTGCTTTGATGAATAGAAAGTTCAAAACAACAGCATTTATTTAAAACAGATTTTTTTTTTCTTGCAAAAAAAGTGTTCTTTAAATATACTTTAAATATACATTCGCATCAGCATTAAAGCAACACTATTGTAAATGTGAGTGGCACTACGTTTCCCAAATAAACATTTACTTTTGTGACCCACTGCAGTGCGCATCAGTTTTTGGTTTGCACTGTGATTTCTTCCTCATATTTGGTGACTTCATGTGAGGAATATTCCACATGGAGTCCTGGAGGAAAACACGTGATGGCGGATCTTCTCTCTAGTAGGCGGTTTGTATACTTTAGACTTGAATCATGTCATTTTTTATTCACATGTAATGTTGGATTAACTCACAAAACCTCTCATTTGCTGCCTAGCTTCTGTTAATTTTGGACCCTGACTTCAGCGTTTCTAAAGTAAACAACTAAATATAATTACAATCATGTAATATTCCTCTCTCTCCATTTTCATTTGTGCACCAGTGTTTACTCTTCCATGTGCCAGTGGCGGCACACATACCCTGATGTTGATGAACCCTGGTTATAAATACATGCAGTCATCTTTAATTTTTTCCTTGCCTGTGTGTTTTTTTATTGCATAAAAGTGCAACACCCTGTTTTTTATTTAGGAGGAATTATATATGTGACCCTGGACGACAAAACCAGTCATAAGGGTCAATGTTTACAAATTGAGATTTATACATACATCTGAAAGTGTTCATTGATATATGGTTTGTTAGAATAGGACAATATTTGGCCGAGATGCAACTATTTGAACATATGGAATCTGAGGGTGCAAAAAAATCAAAATATTGAGAAAATCAACTTTAAAGTTGTCCAAATGAAGTTCTTAGCAATGCATATTATTAATCAAAAATTAAGTTTTGATAGATATTTACAAAATATCTTCATGGAACATGATCTTTACTTAATATCCTAAAGATTTCTGGCATTAAAAAAAAAGAAGATAATTCTGACCCATACAATGTTTTGTTTGCTATTGCTACAAATAGCCCTGTGCTACTTATGACTGGTTTTGTGGTCCAGGGTCACAAATGGCATAATATAGCATTTTAGGATGAATTAAATGGCATTGCAAAACACATTCTACATATTTTTTATTACTTTTTTTTATGGTGGTTTTTTTTTCGCATTGAATTTTGCAGTTTTTCACATTGGTCATGAGTCGTGGTTGAATATCATTGGATCATTTTATTCCTTTTCCTTTTCCATTAAAAGCAACATTAGTGGTAACAAAAAGAAATGCAAAAATAATTTGATTTTACCCAATCTTATCAAAATAATTATAATAGTGCATGACCTCATAGACAGACAGATTCCTCATAGGAAAATACCATGATGGCCACCAAGTGAACTTTTGCTGCCATGTGAACCAGCATGCCCTATTAATACCGGACTATTTCTGTCTGTTTACCTGCCTGGTGTCCATCGTGGCCCCTGAATGCAGGTAGGGTCAATTAGAGCGCCTGACCACACAGCTACAGGCCCTTAATTGAATAAACAAGCCCGTGTTCACACGGTGAGATGATGTGGTGTCAGTGAGCATGCTGTGTGGGCCCTGTTTCCCTGGAGTGAGGCTTAAGTAGCTCAAAGCATCCCTGGCTCTTAATGAGCTCCACTGTCCAGCAGGGTGCAGGTCAGGTACTCTCTGTAACAGCCTTCATAAAATAGAGTCCACCTTAAGGGCATGTGCAGATATTCTCCAGGTGTCATTTATTTTCTGTCAGGGATCCACCAGCTCTTATCTTCCTTGTTTTTGTCTCTCTCTTGCTGTTTTTCTTCAGATGGAGTATGGTTTGTTAGGATAGGACAATATTTGGCTGAGATACAACTATTTGAACATATGGAATCTGAGGGTGCAAAAAAATCAAAATATTGAGAAAATCAACTTTAAAGTTGTCCAAATGAAGTTCTTAGCAATGCATATTATTAATCAAAAATTAAGTTTTGATAGATATTTACAAAATATCTTCATGGAACATGATCTTTACTTAATATCCTAAAGATTTCTGGCATTAAAAAAAAAGAAGATAATTCTGACCCATACAATGTTTTGTTTGCTATTGCTACAAATAGCCCTGTGCTACTTATGACTGGTTTTGTGGTCCAGGGTCACAAATGGCATAATATAGCATTTTAGGATGAATTAAATGGCATTGCAAAACACATTCTACATATTTTTTATTACTTTTTTTTATGGTGGTTTTTTTTTCGCATTGAATTTTGCAGTTTTTCACATTGGTCATGAGTCGTGGTTGAATATCATTGGATCATTTTATTCCTTTTCCTTTTCCATTAAAAGCAACATTAGTGGTAACAAAAAGAAATGCAAAAATAATTTGATTTTACCCAATCTTATCAAAATAATTATAATAGTGCACAATAGTGCATAGACAGACAGATTCCTCATAGGAAAATACCATGATGGCCACCAAGTGAACTTTTGCTGCCATGTGAACCAGCATGCCCTATTAATACCGGACTATTTCTGTCTGTTTACCTGCCTGGTGTCCATCGTGGCCCCTGAATGCAGGTAGGGTCAATTAGAGCGCCTGACCACACAGCTACAGGCCCTTAATTGAATAAACAAGCCCGTGTTCACACGGTGAGATGATGTGGTGTCAGTGAGCATGCTGTGTGGGCCCTGTTTCCCTGGAGTGAGGCTTAAGTAGCTCAAAGCATCCCTGGCTCTTAATGAGCTCCACTGTCCAGCAGGGTGCAGGTCAGGTACTCTCTGTAACAGCCTTCATAAAATAGAGTCCACCTTAAGGGCATGTGCAGATATTCTCCAGGTGTCATTTATTTTCTGTCAGGGATCCACCAGCTCTTATCTTCCTTGTTTTTGTCTCTCTCTTGCTGTTTTTCTTCAGATGGAGTCTCCGGTCTCCACCCCGGCCCCTCCACCGCTTCACTTCCTCGCCTCTATGGGAAACAGTGACATCGCCTCACCTTGTGAGCAGCTTATGGTGCGAACGCGCTCGGTGGCTGTCAACACATCTGATGTGGCCCTGTCCACTGAGCCAGAGTGCCTGGGACCCTGCGAGCCGGGCACCAGTGTCAACCTGGAGGGCATTGTGTGGCAAGAAACTGAGGACGGTAAGAAAATATACTGTGGTAAGAGCTTGTGATGTAGGCTGAGGTTACAAATGTTCAGTAGACAGACTTTTGATTGAACCTGTGAAAAAGTCTGGCTAATAGCCAATGCGGTTAAAAGGAAGAGGCAGTCTGATTGACATGTAAAGCAGCCAAGCCGGGGATAATAAATAAATCCATAAGGGAAAATAAATAAATCCATACATACATAGTGGCCATGATTGGTTGTAAAGAACATGTGAAAAATTTGTCTACATTTCGATAGATCCGAATTTGTGTCCATCCAGAAATATTACATTTTAAGACTTAACTTGAAATACTGTATTTCTGCTCATAGATATCTAGTTCACTCCAACAAAATTCTGGTTACTAACTTGCCACAGTGATTTGTTGTTCCTCAGAGCTCATTGTATCAACACTGAAACAGAATTTCCAAGTGGAATGATGAAAAACAAGTCAATCATATTTTGTATGCATACAAGCAAGTAACTTTGTTGGCACAGTGTTTGAGTAGATAAAAAAGAGATCCAAACATGAAAAAAACAACTGAATTGGGTCAAAGATCCATAGAGCTGTTGACACCCCATTTTAATTGTTCATTAGTTTAAAAAAAGCAAAGCAATGAAGTAGGGCTGCACGATTAATCGAATGCGATTGTCATGCGCATTTTGATAGTAATGCCGGTTCTGTAATCAGCAGGAAATCATCATCACGTGCTTTCAGATGGAGCAGAATTTACTACACATAGCCGTAGTTCACTGACAAGTTTCGCAAAACTGTATATTGCGATAGTCGTGTGTTTATTAGTCACGTTGAATCAATGAAAGCAGTTGAATCTTCTGTTTATTCAGCTGTAGCGAATTTCTGGGCACTAGACATTTTCTGGATTTGTTCTGCAGGGCGTATTTGGAGTTTCCACGTGAGAGCGCCCTCTGGCCTTTGGATGGAGATTTACTGCTGATCACAGAACCGTGCTTCACTGAAAGATATGCATGACAATCGCAGCTTCTGTCAAATGGCGATCTCGATTCCATTTCGATTTATCGTGCAGCCCTACAATGAAGGAACCCATTAAGAGTAGCAGAAAATAATTGTTGATTCCTGAATCAAAATGCTCTTCACATAATTAGATGTTTAAAGTTTCCAATTTGTCAGCCTCCAGCAAGTGTTTCTGATAGAAGACAGAAAATTGGCAGCAAATTACAGTGGTACTTCAGAACAACACAGTTATGGCGCTTTTCCACTGCATGGTACGTCACGGTACGGTTCGGTATGGTTCACTTTTGGGGGGTTTTCCACTCTTTACAGTACCTGGTACCTGGCACTTTTTTCAGTACCACCTCGGTTGAGGTTCCAAGTGAACCGTACCGTTACCAAAACATGATGTGTAAACTCTGCTGATCACTGATTGGCCGGAGAGAGTCGTCACTACCTGCGTCACTGAACTTGCGACACGAGACACAACAGAAATGCTAGATTTAAATCAGCACAGCCAACGAAGGATCGAACGCAACTGTTTTGAACGAGCACACCTTTTTTTAACAACCTATTAGTGCCACAAAGTGCCATCATTTAGCTCAAGTCAGTTTAATGTTGGTTTAGTTTAGATCAATAACAGTGTTAAGTTGATCAGATATAAGCAGTTCTACAAAAGGTGTTGTTATTCAGCTCGAGTCAGTTCAATATGGGCAGTTTGGTAGGTACGTAGAAAATGCTGTATGCACAAAATGGGCATTGAATTGTGTGTATGCTATTTTCCATGCAAATTCGGACATACTGAATTAAATATCCTACTCTCATTAATGGAGCTCTCAAATGACATAAAATCATTATCCATTTATTGCATATGCATTTATCACACCGTTTATACATCAGGCCCCAGGACTGGAAATGGGTATTCAAGTTTTAAATGGGTAATGTTCAAATATAACATTCGCGTCGGATTCAAATATAATTATTGATGGCACCATTTTAGATCTGGGATATTTTTAACATCACCCATTATAATGTGACATATGAGGGCTATACAATAGATTACTATGGTTTTTGAGCTTACAAGTCCCGAAAAAGCTTCAATGTTCAACCAGCAGGTATGAGGAACAATAACATCTTAGTAAAAATAGTAAATAAGCATTTACCCTCATACATTTATAATTAAACTTCAAATGTATTCAAGAACTGAAAATGAAAAATAAGGGTGTAGAAAAGCACAGGTCTATTTATGATTCTTTTTTTTTTTTTTTTTTTACTTTTTTTGAAAATTTAGTTTATGCACATTTACAATGCACATACAAAATAAAGTAATATTGACAAAAAAAAGTAAGGATAGATATTAAGCATACAAATCAGATTTATGCTACACAGCATATACAGCTATAGTCCTATACATACATACATACATCTCATTCTATAAAATCTACATCTCTTTTATATAGGGCTGGGTATCGAGTTCGATACTTTTTAGGCACCGACCAAATTGCCTCGAGACCATCGAGTATCGAAAAACATCTCGTCGTTCGGTACCAAATTTCGATACCTAAGGGGTTAATCTCATCAACGTCAGTGAGGTGCAGATCGATCAGTGTTTGACATCCGCGAGAGCGATGCGAAAATGTACGGCGGATTTAGTGTGAATGCGTCCCAGCCCCCGTAGCTGTAAGGCTACATTTACACTGGTGCGCTTTTGTTTTAAAATGAAAACGAACCTCGTCATACTGACGTTTCCACTGCGTTTCAAGCCGGCTTTCCACTGTCTCCGACAAATGACAGACCGAAAGTCATTCATTTCCAATGGAGAGTAGCGCGAGAGCTGTGTAGAGTTTCAATCATATGCAGATGTCCCCTTTAAACCACCATCAAGTTTTTGTAATAACTTCCGATTGCCGTGTGTGTTTTGGCCATGTATTGTTGATTAAATTAAATATATTATAACCTCTGAGTCAGAGCAGCGATCATGGAAGAGAGAGCACAGGCAGACAGCGTGTGCTTATCAGTAAATCAGTGGAAAATGAATAGAAATGACGATTATGTCTGAGCTATGCGTTTTAAAACAAACACGCACTAGTGTAAATGTAGCTAACAGATGTGTAAACTGAAGACTATTTGAGCTGTATTAAAACTATTTGCGCTGATATTTTGTTAGTTACATTTTGTTCCTTTGTGTAGTGGTTCAGGAGATGAGTCTTTGTGTCTGTATAAACATCAACAAGCTGAAAAATAAAACCAATGTTTTTTTTTTTTTAGATAATGTAATCTTGTTCAAATAGATTTCATAATATTGGTATCGAAAAAAGTATCGTTCAGGAACCGGTATCGAAATCGAAAATTTTTGAACGATACCCAGCCCTACTTTTATATTCAGTCTATAAAAGACTGAACTTGAAGATCTTGTATATTTGTTTATTTGTCTTTCCATTTGGCTATGTAACTAGAAGTACACCAGTAAAAAAAATGGGACGTATTTGTGCTGCATAGAAATCATTTTTAAGATCTGGAAGAGCCATACCACCTTTTTCTTTAGGTAATTGGAGTGTTGAATAGTCTGAGCTTCTGCAGCGAAACCTCTGAATCACTGCCAGATACAAGCATTTTCATTTGCTTCAGCTGTTTTCACACAATTGCTAAACCATTTGCAGAGGCGACTCACAGTACTGCAAAGTCAGATGGAGGACACATCAAATAATTTTTACTCCCAAAAACAACACACTCTGCTCCTTACAGCTTTTAGCTGGTGTAATCATGAAGTACACAGTAAAAATAGCAGGGCAGCTTTGAGAGTGCTGGCCTTAGAAAACCTCCATTTGCACAATTTAAATGGGAATTGTGGCTTCTGCAAGGATTGTGTTTGGAATATTGGTAATGAGGTGGAGAAGCAACCAGATGAGTAGTGCTCATGAATCTGAAAACTGACATTATAACTCTACTGTATTACTGTGTCATTGAGTCTCTGTATATAGAAAGAGATATTCTTGCATTATAGTAAGTGTCGTCTTTGTTTTACAGGTATGCTGGTGGTAAATGTTACTTGGCGGAACAAAACGTACGTCGGAACACTTTTGGATTGTACCCGTCATGACTGGGCTCCTCCAAGGTACGTGAAGCGCTTTAACATATCAAATCAAGAAAATCAAATATTCCTCCCTAGGATACTAGTCTCTGCTTGTCAGCCTCCTTTCCTTAGTACCACATCAGTACTCCCTCTGGACCAGTAGTAAGCCAGGTGTATCACATCATAACCCTTAGGGATAAGGCACACTTAAAAACATACACATCGCCCAGCCTATCAGGTGATAAGAATAGAATCCCACCTCTGGCTGTATGCAAGAATCTAAATAGTATGAGTTTAATTTAACAGTTTGAATATTCAAATATTTTTTTTTTAGATGTCTCAGTCATTTGGAATTACTTTTATATTATTAAAAGCTTATCTTTTTAGACACTTGACAGCCTTTAATATAATCAATATCATACTGCCAAATTATTATTATTAAGGTAATTGTGAAAACCTTGAAAATCTTTATTTTTCTTTAAGGTTCTGCGAGTCTCCCACAAGTGACCTAGAAATGAGAAATGGACGTGGCCGTGGTAAAAGAATGCGACCCAATAGTAACACCCCAGTCAACGAGAACAGCAACTCGTCTGATAGTAAGGGCTGCAACAACAGCAAAACCAGAGCAAATTCCAATAGCAAGGGTCGGCGCGGAAGCCAAAACTCCTCTGAGCACAGGACTCCACCCAATAGCAACACAGAGGACATAAAAGCCAGTCCCTCCTCATCTAGTAAGCGCAAGAACAAGCCTGCTTCAGACATGGAGCCCAACTCTAGCTCTGAGGATTCTAAAGGCAACAAGCGTATGCGCACAAATTCACATGGTGGAATGACCTCCTCTGCACTCCCAATTCCTATTATCAAAACTGAGTCTCTTCCTCCTCCTTTAGACCGAACCTGTCCCTCACCTGTACTGATTGACTGCCCGCATCCCAATTGCAACAAGAAGTACAAGCACATCAATGGCCTGAAGTACCATCAGGCTCGTGCTCATAATGATGATGATATTAAGTTGGACATTGACGGGGACAGCGAATATGGGGAAGAATCCTCTCTCCACCCAGAGCCAGGAAGTTGCAATGGAGCTTCGATTACACAAAAAGGCTCTCTCTCCCCAGCACGTTCTGTCACACCAAAAGGAAGAGGTTTTGATGTTCAGAGTCCATCCCCTTCTCCTGGAAAGTTTGGCTCCAAGTCAAAGAAGAAGAATGGTGATGCTGAAGCAGATGTTTGTGGCACACCTATGGAGGGTTGTGAGGACGGGCCTTGCGTCACTGCTGATGAGGCTAGCAATGACGGCATGGACGACAGGAAGTCCAAAAAGCCAAGCAGCAATGTCAAGTCTGACAAGCTGTCCCAGAAGAACATGAAGTCTTCCAGACCCATGGCTCCATCCCTCCCTTCTCCGCAGATGTACTCTTTGCAGCCAACATCATTTAGTGGCGGAAGCCCCAACCATCCTCCAGGGATGGCCAACATGTTGCAGGGCATCCCCAAGAGTCCCCAGCTAAAAGGCATTCAGTCTAAGTTGGGTGTAACTGGGGACTTGTCGCCAATTAATCCAGCTTTGAGCAGCTCCAAGGACAAAAAGAAAAAGGACAAGAAAAAGAAAGATTTGGGCAAGGATGCAGACAGTCCCAAGCTCACAGGAAAGACTGGGAAAACAGAAGAGGGCAAAAGCCCATACTCTGAGTCCTCTGACCCAGGAAGCAGGAGTGAGGGTCATCTCAATGGCTCCTCAGACCCTCATCAAAGCCGCCTTGCTAGCATGAAGGCAGAGGCGGATAAGATATACAGCTTCACAGATAATGCTCCCAGTCCATCCATCGGGGTGGCCAGTCGTGTGGATAGCAGCGGACAGCCTCTCACTCCCCTTCACGCCGTCACCCAGAATGGGGCCGATAGCTCCTCGGTAAAGACAAACAGCCCTGCATACTCTGACATATCTGATGCCGGGGAAGATGGTGAAGGCAAAATGGAAGGGGTCAAAGGTAAAGCGGAAGATCAGTCAGGCAAGGACGGTGCAAAGAAGGCCCTATTTCCCTCTCAGGCATCCTCTAAGGAATCTGCGTATTATGCTGGCTATGACAACTACTACTCCCCTAGTTACACCCACTCTAGCCCTAGTGGTGCCACTGCTGGTGGGCCTCTGCCGGAAGGGCAAGCTCTGAAACTGAAGAAGGAAGATGAGCAAGCATCGCCCGAGGAGAAGACGAAGTTTGACGTGCAGGATGAGCGCAAAGCTGAGGTCGCTTCAAGTCAGCCACACCAGCAGCAAGCCTCTGTCATTCAGCAGCGCTCCAATATGTACATGCAGCCACTCTACTACAACCAATACTACGTTCCCCCATATGGATACCCAGATCAGGTTTATCACAACCACCTCATGAACACTAATCCAACCTACAGGCAGCAGTATGAGGAAAGGCAAAGACTCATGTCTGAGCAGCACAGGTCTGCTGAGAAAAAGCCTGATTCAGGTGTAAAGGACAGGGAGGCCTCTCTGAAGGAGGACTGGAAACAGAAGGGCCCTGTTCCTCCTGGCCTAACAAAAGCCCCCAGCCTTTCAGACCTGGGAAAGCCACAGGCCCCTGGCAAACAGAGAGACACTTCCTCCGAACCTGCCAAGTCAGTCATCATCCCTAAAGGGGAGGAGACCAAGCTGCAGCCACAGCAGGCTGAGGGGCTTAAAATGAAGCTCAGTGAAGCTGGCCATCATGGAAAGGATGACTCAAAGGCAAGTGTGGAGTCTGCCAGGCTGGGTATGGAGCAAGCCATGTGGTACAGACAGGTGAGGCAAACATGTGATTCTTGAACTAAACTACTGCACAGTTCGCAAGCTAGAGGGATAATTCACCCAAAAATGAAAATTTAGTCGAAAAAATAGATTTCATGAGGGTGAGCTAATTTATTGCCTTGCAAAACCTTAACTTTAACGCCTTTCTGTTTTCTGTTTTCAGTATCCTGACAGTCAGAGACCGCCAGATGAGGACCGAGACCGGGAGCGAGACAGAAAAGGCAAAGATGACAGGCCAAGGCTGAAAGACAGCAGCTCCAAAGAAAATAGTAAAGATGTAACTGATGGTTTGTGTCCTCCCAGCTCTGAGGACCAGCGAAGCGGTGGGAAAGATTCCCGGCCCAATGCTCACATAGCTTTCAGCTCCCCCTTAGCACAGCACCAACCCTACCTGCATTACATGCATGGATATCCTTTTGGGCAAAGCTACGATCCCAGCCATCCTGGATACAGAGGCATGTCCTCTGTCATGATGCAGAACTACCCAGGTTAGACAAATAATCACATCTGAGTGGTGATGTTCATATAATATTATTAGCATATTATTCTAAAAATACAATACATACAATTCTAGAAAGTGCCTACTTACTAGTAAACTTTGTTGCGCAACAATTGGTTTGCACGGATTGGCCAACAACATGCTCTGTGCAAGTTACATAAAGGATTACATCTTATATTGCATTATTGTTACTTTCAAATATTGCTGCTTGTTAATCTAGTATTACTCAGGTAACTAGCTATAGACATATAGATGTCGACAGTTTAAAGGTGGGGTAAGCGATTTCTGGTAGCCAATGTTGACATTTGAAATCACCAAAACAATCACGCCCCTACCCCAAAAGGGTCTCGCCCCTGTTTTGATAGCTCCGCCCCACACATACGTACACAACCCAGGCAACGATTAGTTCTGTGAAACAAAGCAATACCAATGTTACACCGTTTTTACACCGGACGCGAGTGGCGCGGCGCGACAAAATACTATGGAACTTATTATAATCAGTGTTGCTGTCTACACCATAGATATATATACATATCTATGGTCTACACTGGATGGGGTGCGGCACAACACAACAAATCCCCGACAGAAAACTGCTGCTGCTGTTCCATTCACAAATTTCAAATGATTTTCAACGGTCGCTTTGTCGCATCCAGTGTACTAGACAGACTTTAGCTGTTGAGGCGCAGACACGGTGTTACTCACCTATCGAGACGAAACAAAGCAACCTCGGCATCTGATCGCAGGCCTTCCGCTCTTTGAGTTCTCTCCAGTGCTGGAAAGCTGATCCGATATTTACACGGGTCCTACTTCTTGCCTTATTGCCTTAAGCCTTCTTTTGTTCCGCAGACGTTTTCCTCTTTTGTTTTTTATCCGCCATCTCTATCTTTCTGTTGCTCGGCTCGCTAATGTCCGTCCTGTGCACTGAACGCTCTCTCCTCCACATCATGAGTAGATACGCCCCTTACTGCTGATTGGCTACAAGTTTGTTTTGCTAGTCTGCCCGAATCAGTTTTCTAAAGTGTTTTTGAAAAAGTGCTTACCCCACCTTTAACTAGCTCTGCAAGAATGTCCTCTTTTTGTTGACTGAAAAACAAAACTGGCCACTAATGATGATAGTGCCCCTTGTGGCAACACTGAAAATGCAACACATACTTTTGCTGCTTTGTTAATTGCGTTTTGATGCATTTTGGAACACAATGACGTGTAAAATCGAGCTTGTGTAGCTAGAAGTGTTGGCATTCATGTACTTGCATAAAGCATGTTTTGAGCCTTAATGTGCGTAAAAAGTGCATAATAGCACTCCTTTAAAGTAGAAAAACAGTATGGTCTTCTAATCTTTAGGGTCCTATCTGCCAGTGGGATACCCTTTCTCCCCTTACGGCAGTAAAATGGGCAGTGGAGAGGAAGGAGAAAAATCTCGCTCCAGCCCCACAGTCAGCATCAAGTCGGCTTCAGAATCTAAAGCCTTGGACATACTACACCAACACGCCAACCAGTACAAGAGCAAATCACCCACTGTTGCCGACAAGCCTTCCCATGAAAGGGAGCGAGGAGGAGGCGACCGAGAACGGGAAAGAGAGAGGGAGAGAGAAATAGATAGACCGCGTTCATCATCTTCCCAACGCATAATGCCATCCCATCACCACCTAGGCTATCCTCTTGTAGCTGGGCAGTACGATCTGTCTTATGCCACAGGTCAGCAGTCTAGTGCTCTTACACATTAACCTGCACAGGATGTCATATTTAATCCCAAAATTTTGACAGAAATTAGAGAACATTACATTAAACGTTTATTTTATAATTATACAGTAATATATTGTGCATTATTACATTATCTTAATATTGACATTATTATGCATTATTTTCTGTATTACACTAATGAGAATTAGATTTTTTTAAAGATTGTTTTGGGGGGTATAATGTGAACCAGGCATCTCTTAATGAGATTTCAAATGCCTCATCTGATGTGTTTAGGGAAAATATATATATATATTGCTGCTATAAATCTGTGCCAATTCCACAAAGAAAATCTTTACTGGATGTTCCTTAATTGCAGGCCTTTCATCGTCAGCGATTGTTGCCAGTCAGCAAGCCTCAGCCCCTTCCCTGTACCCACCAGCACGGAGGTGAGAATGGTAAGAGAAAACAAAGATCAAGGAAAGGAGATTTGGATTGTGGCCAAACAGAGAGTGAATCACATAAATCGCAGTGAAAGATGGCCACTGTAGTTGCAAGTGTATCCCCATTTCTGCTTTCATAAAGAGTAATGTAAAAGCTTTTTTTGATACACAAGCTTACAAAGAGGTGCTTTATAATTGTTCCACTTGCTTTGAGGCCCTTCTCTCTAAAGGTTTTGTAGACTGCCATCTGTTTTAGAGCATTATGATTATTTAAGGCCCCTTAGATTGAGACTACTAGTGCTTTTAGGACAGCAACATCGCTTCAGAAGCCTATAGTGATCTCTGGTGGAGAAACTTGTAATAACATCAGGAAGATAATAATAACAATACAGATTTTTTATTTATTATATTATATAAATTTTTTTCTTAGTTTATGTATATGTTCATATTTAAAGTATAAGACTATATTTACATTTATAATAGTTTTATTTAAAATAACTAAATAACGAAATCAGAGATTGACCATATTCTTTATTCTAACCAGTGTGTTCTTGTGTTTTCTTTCTTTCTTTAGGGAAACCTGATTGTCTCGCCCTTCTTTACAAATAATCATGTGACTGGATCACATGGGGAAGTATATGGAGCTCATTTAGGCATCAGTTGAATGGTGTTTCTATATTTTTAGTTTTTCTGCCGGAATGTGTGGCAGATTGATGTTCTCCTAGTATCTGTACCTTGTACCCCACTACAGACGGTGAGACCAGGTTCAAAGCCATCCTGCCCTACTCAAAGCCCAGCTGGCCACTGAACTGTGCCTGTGAACTGGTGAGGGATGATTGAAAAGCAAGGACTGTTCATTCCACTCACATGATACAGGCTGTGGCCGGACAAGAGGCAAGGGCTCAAGGGGACATAAGAACACAAGAACTGAAAATAGTTTTATCACACTGAGATAACTAAAGTTGTTTCCCTTTTTTTATTTTAGTTGGTATCCTCACTGAAAATAAAAATCAGTTTGACCCACGGTTTTTAAATTGTTGTTCTCTAGATACCACCAGTGAAAGCTGCAGATATTATCTAGCATTGTCTCATAACTCTGTCTTTCTGCCAGTGGTTCCTAAACGGTTCCCATCGCCAAATGCCTCAAGACTGCTCTCTTTTTTCCTCACGATTTTTTTTCTTTTTTCCATTTCTCTCTTTTCTGTCATCAGAATGGTTCCATGTAAAGAGCATGACATCAATTTTTATTTTATTATTACGTTTTTTCAAAAAAATGTTCAACTGTACTATGGTCTGGTAACATCATGCTGTTTTTTAGCATTACCATCCAGCCTCTCGTGGACTAGCAAATCCAGGAAAGTGTTTAAGACGCATGACCGCCCTCACACAACTGCTTTCAGCGAGACGTTTCACTTCCAGATTCATTTGCGACATATCTCAGCGAGCACTGTTCCATTACAGACTTTCAATAGAACCTCAATGGCCGAGGTTCGTTTACTCCTGTGGCCGGACAAGAGGCAAGGGCTCAAGGGGACATAAGAACACAAGAACTGAAAATAGTTTTATCACACTGAGATAACTAAAGTTGTTTCCCTTTTTTTATTTTAGTTGGTATCCTCACTGAAAATAAAAATCAGTTTGACCCACGGTTTTTAAATTGTTGTTCTCTAGATACCACCAGTGAAAGCTGCAGATATTATCTAGCATTGTCTCATAACTCTGTCTTTCTGCCAGTGGTTCCTAAACGGTTCCCATCGCCAAATGCCTCAAGACTGCTCTCTTTTTTCCTCACGATTTTTTTTCTTTTTTCCATTTCTCTCTTTTCTGTCATCAGAATGGTTCCATGTAAAGAGCATGACATCAATTTTTATTTTATTACGTTTTTTCAAAAAATATTTCAACTGTACTATGGTCTGGTAACATCATGCTGTTTTTTAGCATTACCATCCAGCCTCTCGTGGACTAGCAAATCCAGGAAAGTGTTTAAGACGCATGACCGCCCTCACACAACTGCTTTCAGCGAGACGTTTCACTTCCAGATTCATTTGCGACATATCTCAGCGAGCACTGTTCCATTACAGACTTTCAATAGAACATCAATGGCCGAGGTTCGTTTACTCCAGGGAATTCTCTTCGATTCCACTTGGTTATCCTTCAACTTGAATCCGAATATCCTCGTTCCCGTCTTGGCTACCTTACCTCATCGCGAACAGAATTTCCGATTTATCGCTATGGTTCTTAAAAAATGGATGTTTGTTAATGTGACCGGTATAGTAAGTTCTTTTAGAGAGGCGCTTATGTGCTGGCCGTTTTGCTGCAGCGTTATGGGGTGTGTGACACCAGAGGCCCAGTAGTTTTGTTCTAATTGTTCTGAAGTTCTTGCATGGGGCTGCTCTATCCCTCTAACACTTATTGTGGAAGTGTTGTGGTAACTCCAGCGTGTTTTATGAAACCAAGTGAGCGTTTGACCCAAACATGCTTTCATAGCCCATCATGCTCTATGTATTTCATGTGTCGTCCAGCATGGTGTACTATAGCACTAGAAATGTGACTTTAAACAGCGTCTCCTCAGGCAAAGCAAACTTTGGTTTTGCACCAAACGCTGTCGATATTCTTGGTTGCACACACTATGTGATGTCTGTATATGATGTACAGAGGAACTGTTTTAAAATGCAATCAAGAAACCATCTGATTACTTTGTTTTGATATCTGTCGCTAGGGTGTGTTTTTCTTTTCCTCTTCGATGTTATCCTCTGCTTTATCTTCCATAGCTTTGTATTGGCTTGCCGTCACAATGCTTGCTGGTTTTTTAACATTCACTAGGTCCATGAAACTCTTAAATGAGGCTTGGGAGTCTCTCAATCCAAAATCTCAATTAGACGCAGCTCTCGGTGGATCTCGGGCGGTTTCCTGATCGTTTGCTGCTGATTTTGGGTTATATTTTCACACGAAGTGATTCGAGCAGGTCGATTTTAACAGGCTCTGTTGGAATGAGAGACGAAAGACAGGTGTTCGGAGGATTACATTGGCTCTCATTTGTAAAGTCACAATTAAAAAAACAACAACAGCAGTGAAGCACCATGGTGCACTGAATACTGAGAGAAATGGGCTTTAAGTTACACACCCAATATATTCATCAATATGTTATTTGATATTAGGTACATTGGGATGTTTGAGCCGCACAGAACAACTTTATGAATTGTCAAGAGTTTGGAATTTTTTTATCTCATGGTTTTTGGCAGTTAAGAAAAATTGTCAGTGCTAGTTTCAAATGGTGCTCAGTTGACATGCTGTGATTTGTTGGAAAGAGGATGCAGTGCACTATTGCATGCTTTGCGTCATTTACACGATGAACTACCACCTCTTTCCTGTTGAGCTTCATCCCAAGTCTCAAAAGACAATTTATCACCAAGTATCAGGCCCCGGTACTGAAAGAATGTTTACATTTTTTTAATGGCTTTGTTTGGATTTTTTATTTTTTTTTGGCTGCATCACCCAATTCCTCCTGTTCTTTCTTGGACTTTCTCTTATGTAAAGTGTACATTACCACGTTTCTTTTTTATACAATACTGTAACTTGCCTTTGTACATTTAGGCAAAAAAAATAAATCTTTTTATGAGACAATCACATCTGTCCTTGCGTGGCTCTCTTCTGTTTTATAATCATTGAAATATCTTTTCATTTTACGTTTTAATAAAGGTTTTTGTTATCTTATCATTTTATGTTTTGCATAAGGCCTTTTTCCAGGTAAATTATCATATTGAATGAACACTGTTAAGATCCAGTTACCACTAGAGGACACCCACTTCCACTGTATCAATGTTTTTTGTCTTTTTAAATACATTATTTCCTGTTTCCTATTCATTTCTCCTATATAAATCTTAATGATTTTCCTCAATTGTTCATGGATGCTGGATAATGGTTTTTAAAAAGCATTTTATAGAGGTTATGCAATGAAGGTTAGTCAATGAAACACTAGAAAATTGTATATGCACTGCAGAATTGTCATCCACTTTATTATTTTCCATGAAATATGCAGGCCTTTTTTGCTCAGTTGCTGGAAATATTGCAAAAGCCTCACCATTAAATATCTTGGATGCATGAAATTCCAAATCCCTAGCATTTTAATTTACTTTCTCTAATGCTGTTAGACTGTCATATGACAACAATGAAATGTCTGAAAGGGTCATTGTTTTGAATCATCGGAGTATTTGCACAGTAAGAACCATAAAGCCCTTTCAGCTTGTGTAAAGTGCTTTGTCTCTAACAAAAGGTGCTTTTATGTGCAACGTGATGCAGAAGTGGAGATTATGCGGGGATGATTTTGTGGCGTGTAAATGTAAAATCTGATTATCGCTGCTGGGAGAGGGGAGGGAGGCAGGGAGATGCTGAGGCAATGACTTTTCCTCTGATATCCTGCAAGGGCATGGAAGTACACTTTTCTTCTTGCTGCTTAGCAAGTCTGCATTGGACATCTGGGATTTCATGGGATGCACTATATACGCAGCCAGTTCTGAGGCTCCTTCAGCGGAGGGGCCTGAGCCACAGAGACGCCCCCATGGTCACAGCATCAGGATCTGTCGCACCCGTGTCCGGTGAGGCCACAATGCAATGTCTCAAGAGTCTTGTGGTTTTTCAATTAATCTGTTGCTCAGATGCATAATAGTATGTGTACTGGTTGTTGGCCTATAAATGTATCTTTTATTAATGCTGAACTTTAAGCTATTAAAAGCTCAACTGATCTCTGTGTAGTTAGTGTTCATGCTCAAACACATCTGTGTGCTTTATTGCTAACAGTTCTCAAATTTTGTGCATTTTCACTTCGGTTTTGGTCACTTTGAACATTTCAATCTTTACTGTGTACATTTGTTATCTTGGTTTACTCTTAACTTTTATAAAGAATATCTCTTTGGATTTGAGACTTTAGTCTTTGCAACTTTACAGATCTCCTTTATGCACCAAGAGCTTGTAACACTCCAAAGAGAAAGGAAAAACTGAAATCGCATCATATGACCCCTTTGAGATCAAGGTAGAAATATATTTCCAACAACTACTAGCCTAAATGAAATAACCTTGTTTTTAAAATCGTGTTTTCTTTGACAGTAGGCTAAGTTACATGAAACTTTTCAAATACAACCTCTCCTGTGAAATTTTAAACACAAGCCATACAGATTTGCTCGCGCGTGTGCATAGGACATTAACTCTGTGATTATAAGAATTTGTCAGCCCTTGTCGAAAGTGGCTGGACTAGGAAAATGAATGCTTTAACGAGCAAATGGGTATTTATTCAGATTCTTCATCTAGTCAGTCAGTCTGTATAATGTACAGTATGTGTGTGTGTTCATACCGAGCAGTAAATCCAGCGAGAGTTCCTGAAGCTTCCTAATAACAGCACGGGTCTCTAATGCTGCTGCTCTCATAATACATCACACTACATAACGCTCACTATCACACTTATGACCTTTTATGAGCTCGGACTATTATAACACCGGTAATGATGGCTTTTTCTTCACACTGACACCTCTATGGGATACGTCGAGCGAGGGTTTGGATATTTCCTGTCCGTCAGGTACGTGTCAACTAACTTAACGCTGTTTCTCCTCACTATAGCTACTGGCGAACGTAGTGACGTCTTCTGTTTTGAATTCGCAAATATTGTTTTCGCGCGCACAGGCTTGGGTGGCTGTTCACTTATTGGATCGATGCATACGTATTAGTTTGATTTGTGGCGATAATAGCCAAATTATTTGATCATTGTGATTTAATTGTCTGACGATACATTTACATTGTTGAAAAAACAGTATATGCTGGTTAGGTATGTTTTGACGCTGGGATGCTGGTCCTTTGCTGGTTTAAACTGGTCCTTTGCTGGTTTAAACTGGTCCTTTGCTGGTTTAAACTGGTCCTTTGCTGGTTTAAACTGGTCCTTTGCTGGTTTAAACTGGTCCTTTGCTGGTTTAAACTGGTCCTTTGCTGGTTTAAACTGGTCCTTTGCTGGTTTAAACTGGTCCTTTGCTGGTTTAAACTGGTCCTTTGCTGGTTTAAACTGGTCCTTTGCTGGTTTAAACTGGTCCTTTGCTGGTTTAAACTGGTCCTTTGCTGGTTTAAACTGGTCCTTTGCTGGTTTAAACTGGTCCTTTGCTGGTTTAAACTGGTCCTTTGCTGGTTTAAACTGGTCCTTTGCTGGTTTAAACTGGTCCTTTGCTGGTTTAAACTGGTCCTTTGCTGGTTTAAACTGGTCCTTTGCTGGTTTAAACTGGTCCTTTGCTGGTTTAAACTGGTCCTTTGCTGGTTTAAACTGGTCCTTTGCTGGTTTAAACTGGTCCTTTGCTGGTTTAAACTGGTCCTTTGCTGGTTTAAACTGGTCCTTTGCTGGTTTAAACTGGTCCTTTGCTGGTTTAAACTGGTCCTTTGCTGGTTTAAACTGGTCCTTTGCTGGTTTAAACTGGTCCTTTGCTGGTTTAAACTGGTCCTTTGCTGGTTTAAACTGGTCCTTTGCTGGTTTAAACTGGTCCTTTGCTGGTTTAAACTGGTCCTTTGCTGGTTTAAACTGGTCCTTTGCTGGTTTAAACTGGTCCTTTGCTGGTTTAAACTGGTCCTTTGCTGGTTTAAACTGGTCCTTTGCTGGTTTAAACTGGTCCTTTGCTGGTTTAAACTGGTCCTTTGCTGGTTTAAACTGGTCCTTTGCTGGTTTAAACTGGTCCTTTGCTGGTTTAAACTGGTCCTTTGCTGGTTTAAACTGGTCCTTTGCTGGTTTAAACTGGTCCTTTGCTGGTTTAAACTGGTCCTTTGCTGGTTTAAACTGGTCCTTTGCTGGTTTAAACTGGTCCTTTGCTGGTTTAAACTGGTCCTTTGCTGGTTTAAACTGGTCCTTTGCTGCTTTAAGCTGGTCCTTTTGCTGGTTTATGCATGCTGGTCCTTTGCTGGTTTAAGCTGGTCCTTTGCTGGTTTAAACTGGTCCTTTGCTGGTTTATGCTGGTCCTTTGCTGGTTTATGCTTGTCCCTTTTGCTGGTTTATGCTTGTCCCTTTTGCTGGTTTATGCTGGTCATGTGCTGGCAAAGGACCAGCATAAACCAGCAAAAGGACCAGCATAAACCAGCAAAGGACCAGCTTAAACCAGCATCCTAGCGTCAAAACATACCTAACCAGCATATCCTGTTTTTTTCAACAGGGTGCCCCCATTCCACATGAGTAAATTCCTAAGTCTAAGACTCCAAAGTCTGAGCCACGTACAAGCCGTTATAAAATATAGGCTATAGAGTAAAATAAATATCAAAATACTATACACATCTGTGACTGCACACTAATTAAGTTAATTCATTTTAGCTATATTAATGTGTCAAGTTGCTACGTTGCTTGGCAGTCGCAAACCGCACGCGATTTATCGGTCACTCTTATTTTATTTTTTTCTGATTATTATTATTATTATTTTTAAATCATTTGACATTTACTATGTTTATTATGTTACATATGGAATTCGCTCGGAAGCGTTGCATTAGTGATTTTAGAAGTTTAGGCTGCTATCAAATTTATTTAGCCTAATTAGCTTTTACATCACACAAGTTATAATTTAAGCAGATATGTCTCGTCTGCATACACCTAGTCAGTTTTACTATACAAGTAAACACTGGACAGAATTATTTTTATTCTGCAAGTCATTTTAACTAGTCAAAGCATATCCACTCTATACAAACTTTATATAAAGCACTAGCCTATATGTTTATAAATGGAAAGGGCAGTGGAGCAGGCCCGCAGGAGCTAAGACTGAGTTAAGACGGTAATGTAGGTCACTCACAGGGAGACTCCTCTGAGTCTGCTCAATTCTTTACAGTAATATGTCACCATATGAGATATGAGTGTTTCAAGAACTTACTACAATAACCATAGTTGTTTAGTTTTTTTGCCAGAATACCAAAATCAAAAATAAGGTGACACATTTTATGAATATGGTTTTACAGTAGTAACAATAAATGCAGTAACTTGGGTAATTTGGCAGAAAATATGATCACGTGTTTATAAGGGCAGGGGAAGCGAAATGTGTTTGAAGGTGTTCCAGCATTGTCAAAATGAAAGAAAGAGCGGCTGTCCTCATTTTCCCTCAGTTTATCTGTTGACTGTCACTAACAAAAACATCACACAGGTGTCTTCCAAATTGCATGTCCTCACAATACAATGTGGATACAAAAATGGCACAATGCAGTGTGAATGGCTTGCAAAGTATCCATCAGAAAGCTCTGTTGTGTGTCAACTGCCTGGGGTGCAGTTACAGCCTGCAGATGTATATGAGAATGGGCCCATTAGCCTCCTACAGTACAGCTGCCTCTCTGTTATTGCTGTGAACCCCCCCCCCCCCTAGGGCCCCTTTCCAAAAATACACACACCCCCTTCCCCCCAC